TGAGGATAACATGACTCTGACCTGTGTCATAAAAAAGAATAATTTATTTCTTTATGTGGCAATAACCACACACTGCCATTGGAGTAGTAAGACAGAGGAGAGAAATATCTTATTTTGCCGCAATATGATTTTATAACCTACAGAAGCCTGAGTGCTCAGGAAGCCTGCTAATAAGCCGTGTGGTGTCTCTGCTCAGGTCCTGGGTTTGTAGCCGCACTGCTGCTAACCATTAGTTTCTTTTATTGGATCATTTTGAAATTAGCGGATGGTTTCGTTTGAAACCTTAATTTTGTGCACACCTTCCATTGCCTCGGGTAGTGCTACGGCTCAGTGAGCCCGCCACCTTCATTATACAAAACATCTTTCCTGTTCTAAGAGATCAACATAGCAGCCTCGCATTTTTCCCCTTTGAGAAGCCTCCTGGAAAAATGCAGTCTATATACGTCCCATGGAAACACCTGTAAGAACTGCGTGCATCTTGGTGGATGGCAATTGCTGTGGGCTGTGCTTCACCAGGACCAGCCCAGCTATACTGAGCAACCACAAACCCTCTCGACTGGCCAGCTGGCACAGATGGGGTGTGCTGGCAAATCTCATGCCTGAAGGTACACTACAAAGCACATTAATGCAGGAAGCTCTGTGTCTATTCTTACACAGTTTCACTAAAGCTGAGCTCACAGCTTGACTGGCTGCTCCTTCCTACAGATACCCAAGAAAAGTTACAGCCTATTGGTATGCCCACGACCAGAATTGCTTTTGGCTAGATGCAAGCTGCTCTCTCCCTGCCTTGGGGCACGGATGGACTGGCCACGAAACGCATGTCCTCACTGGCACCTGGCTCACACCAGCCACATCTAACTGGCCTTTTTGGCTCTGGAAAGCCAAACTGAACTATAATTTAAGCTCAGTTGTAGACTGTAGGTTCTGTGAAGTTATGAAGGAGATGCCACCCTACATGCTTGGCATCCTGTTGGTGAATTTCTGATTCAGATACAGCTGAAGATATTCTGTATCTTTAAATATTACTCTCATGGTTCTGCTCGCTGAACCGTACTAGCATGAGACTGTCTGCTCACCACGCTGGCCAGTTCCTTTCCTCTCAACATAAAACCCTAGGAAATCTTTGTAAGGTTTCTCAAATGCAGTCAAAACCAAATGTACACTCATAGCTGGCCAGCTCCAAGAACAACTGCACTCTTGGCCCTGTCCTGGGCTGCTTTTAAAGGTCTCTGCCTCAGCTTGGAGAAGCTGAAGATGGCTGTTGCCCATAAAATACAGTAGTTGCCAGGTTTCCTGATATCCAGTTTTGACGTGTCCTGCAATTGCTGCAAAAAAAGTGGCTACACGAGAAAAACACAACCCCCTAGCCATCCAAAGCTCCCAACTGTGCACTTAAGACAGTTCACTGTAAGCTGGGCTTTGATTGCTTATGAAGATGAGGAAAAGAGTACTCAGCAACCCAAAGTGCACTAGTGTGAAGTGAAAGGCCATCAGATAAAGAAAAAACTGTATTCCACCCCAAGTATAAACACCTATTTCTAAGTCACCAATGAAAATAGAGCTTATTCTTCAATTTACCTGGTTTTAGACAAGCACAACTTTGGGTAGGTGATAGAAACATGATCTTTTTGTGTAGTTCTCCTTTCCAGGAGCGTGCTGCTGCTCAGCTGGAGTTAGATGAAGTCTCCAGCATCTGCCCTCTTAAAAGGAGGCGGCCAGTCCCTTTTGTAGTAGCAAGCTGTAGCAGACTGCTCAGAACAAGACTTGTTAACTTAACTCACTTTGGCCATCCAGTTTTTGAAACCTTTAAACACACACAAAAATATCAGAAGCCAGTCACAGCACAACACTGAAGATAACTGAGGCTCAGGTCTGGGCTGATAAGCCTTCTATTTCCTCACTGCATCCAGCACTCTTCACAGGGACAAAGACAGGGTTTCACTCGCCTCCTAGCTCTCTACCAGGCAATGTCTTTTCCTGACACTTTTTTGCTCTGGATTATAAAGTCTTGTTACCTGAGATGATATTTTATAGCTGTCTGGGAGAATAAGAAGTCACACGTGCCTTCAGAGCGGCACAGAAACACATTGAACCCGACCTTTGAAATTTGATTCATTTGCACTTGAGCATCCTATTCCTTCTGGCCAGTAAGTACAAGCAAACACATATTTTAGACATTTGTGAAAGCTGAACTGCAAAACTACTTTAATAAATTTTCCCCTAAAAAAGAAGAACAGCAGAATTCACGATGCTGTAATGCAAATGAATGTGGTTTTGCACGGTATGAACACATTTCTTCTGAAAGAGATTTTGATTCCTTGAAAATGACAAGCGCTGCCTGATGTTGCCTGACTTAGCAAGAGCAGCACTTATTGCAACTAGAGGATAAAAAAAATGGAGAAAGCTCACCAAACTCTACAAAAGCAAACGACCAAACAAACACAGAATAACACAACAAAACCTTACTCAACTTTCCCATAAGGATTATAAATGTTGTGCACATACACTTCCTTTTAGTTAATCAGAGTTTGGTTTAGGTTCTTCCAGCAACTATTCATTGGAACGGTTGATAAGGTTGTTGTTTCTAGGCAGAGCAAACAACATACATCCCTCACATTTTCGTGGTTAATTAAAAAAAAATAAACTGAAACAAACAAAGCCCTTCTCCTTCCCGTTGAAAACCTCAGAGCCATGCCGCTGTCTGGGTCACTGGAATTCAGCATTTAGCAAGCAGCAGTGCTAGGTGATAAAGGCACTGGGAGCACAAGGGAATACAGAAATAATTCCTGTTGAACACATTCACATGTAGCACCTGGCGGGTGAAATTACAAAAGCAGTCACTGAAAGACAGGGAACATACAAGCTCTAATTTCTCAGCCAATAGTGTATCTGCAGGTGTGGGAGTGAGTCATTCATAACTTGCCCTCATTAAATATGCTCTAGATTAAAGTTGTCCTAATTTAAACCAAAAAGGCCAACCTGCAAAAGAATGACTTATATGCACACTAACGATTACGCGCTCACCTACAAGGGATGAACTCAGACACATCACAAGCAAATTAGCAACTTAGCAAACATGCGGTTGATGTGTGCAGAAATGCTGATTTTTTGTTTAGCTCTGCTGCACCAAGTGATACGAAGTGGGAAGTTCATAGAACCGCAAGGAATGAACCTAGTGCTGGGATTGAAGGCACCACAAAGTATTAAAATTCATTTTTAAGCTAAGTCTGAAATATAGCTATGGTGAGAGGATTAATAAAGCAACCCCATTTCAGTTGCAACATGACACAGAGTAATTCATTCAAAGGTCACACATAATTGTGGCGTGTTTGTTTTCTGCTAATATTTAGTTGCACTCTCGCATTTCTTTTCGTGACTCCAGATTCGTTACAGTCCATTACTGAGACTTGTAGCTAGCCCACAGCCCTGAGAAGAGAGAAGTTGAAAAGCTCTTGAAACCTCCCAATTCCATAATGTGTTTCCCAAGTGATATGAACCATGTTGCCTTCATTTCCTCTGCTACATGATTTTCTTGCAAGGTTTATCCAAACTTTGTTTGAGTTCTGCTTTTTTTTTTTTTTTCCAGTTCTTCAAATCTCATTTTTAGATGAGACAAGAAGAAAAAGATGTGTTAAGAAATTGCACGTTTTTTCTTCTCCAAGTCCTGTAGTACAAATGCTGGTGCTACTTTTTCTACAGAAAGTACAGAATTTTCTCCAGGAAAACCAAATTACCTCCAAAAGCAGGTGGCGATTTGAAAAACATCACTTGGAGCTTTTATTTTTCTGTGCTTACTACCACAGCAAAGGGTTGCTGTATGTAAGGTAAACGAGCAGTCCACAAGTCAGAAGAGTGGCTCTCAGCACTAGCAAGCGAGTTTCACGCTTCACCCAGAGGGGTTCCAGAGAGACACTATTTGCACTCATCCATATGAAACATCCATATGACATAAACAGATGAGCCCCTACTTAGGGTTTTATTCTCCTGCCAGTTTTGTTGCTTGGGGATAAGATCGTTATGTATGAGAACGTAGCATTGTCATCAAACAGCAATTAACTTTTTTTTCAGTACATTAGGTCACTTTATGTAACCACAAACATTCATTTGATGCCAGTCCCAACCAAGTCAAGGTTGGCCAGGACCTGAGGAGACCAGCAACTTGGGGTCCTTTGCTATGTGCCACCCTAGTCTGCTATCTCCTGAAGACAGCAAGTGGATGAATGCCCCCATATTCCTGCTGTTCACTCTTTGACCAAGCACAATTACCTTTCCAAAATGTGTACAGTGCATGACATCTCCCAGAGCAGAGGAAAAGCTTCAGAATTCACCAGGAAAGTCCTATTGATGGAAAAACCTTGAAAGCTTATTTCAAGCAAAGCGTGTCCTGGCTACTGTGTGGCTCAAACATAAGGCACCTGTTCAATGCTCCATATACCTCACTTCTCTTGACACTAAGCATTTGTTTATCGACTTGCAGCTATGAATTAAACACCTGAACTGGTTAAAACTGGCACATACCCTTTAAATAGTTTAACAGCTGCACGCGTGTAAGTAGCTGTATCTTTCAGAAGCATCTGAGTGCTGAACTGCTGATCTCCACTATGCAAATTGAGCAGAAACTGGGGGAAGAAGCCCAATTTCTATGACAGCCTCCCCTACAACTTTCCATTTACCCATCTCCCCTCCAGCTCAAGGGAAAACTGGAAATTTGGAGGTAGCCACCACGAGCCCATAAGAGCTCTCAGCTGCTTCACACCAGGTAAAGTCCAGTCCAAAACCAACCCTGGCATTAAGAGACAAACTGCTCCTCAATCTACATTGACAACTGACTGGAAACAGCAGCTGAGGATTCTAGTCTTTACACTCTTTTCACCTTCACTTGTCTATTTAAAGGAACCTAAATGTGTTTCGAAAGAAGGGGGGGGGGAGGGAGGGAAGAGAAGAAGGATGTGGTTATGCCATTTAGTAAGAGTACTGGTAGGGGTGGGTATGTAAGCAAATGCTCTTGTGCTTTATAGAACTTGGACTGAAGCAATGCTGCTGATCTACCTGCTGGGGTACAGGTAAAGTAATTAAAATTTTAACTAATAGCTTTTTTTTTTCCAATAATTTAATAGCCGTGTCCATTGCAGAGCACTATTTTTAAGCTAGTTAGATGACTATTTCTTACAAATATCAAACAGTTAGATCAAAGATGTAGTGTTGCTTAGCTTAGAGCAGAAAGAAAGATTCTTGCTTTACTGATAAGCATAAATATATTCTGTTGCAATCAAAATAATCAGAATCAAATGGTAAGAAATCATCCAACTACAGATTAAATATATGGCAGATGTGGGACTTAGAATCATAGAATTGCCTAGGTTGGAAGGGACCTTTAAGATCATCTAGTCCAATCATCAACCTAACTGATTAAAAAAAAACCAAACCCACAACAACAAAAAAACTCATCACTAAATCATGTTACTAAACACGCTACTGCTCTTCATTGCACTAAGCCTTTTTACTCTTCTTGTGTGCATCCACAAGAGAATAATTTATATCTAATACGACTAACATTCTAGAAAATAGATCTAAACAAAGTTTGCTTCATAGTGGTAACTTTACTTGGTTCGCATTGATTAGGAGGGTAATTATGGTAAATGCTGCAAAAGTCCTTGCTGAAGCAGTGACCTGAATTTTCCTTATTCCTCTTTTGCAGTATAGCTAGATTAAGAATGATTGGTTTGCTGTGTTCTTTCATCTGATTATAATTTCCTTACAATTATAGCTACACGTTCGTGTACAGTAAGTTATATATTTTATGACGAGTATGTTCCTGCTAATATGAAGCTTTCATGGATGAGAATATCCTTAATCTGTGATCCCCATCTGTGCTAACATACAGATTTGTGTGAATCCCAACTAGAATCAGACAGACTTAGATCTGAGCTACAAAGAGGAAACTATTCATGCATCCTACTGTGCTGCAAAAATCCTAGCAAATACTGTAAAATCCTAGCAATACTGTAAAACCTTGCTGTTCCATTACCTGGGACAGTAAACCTTTGCTACTAGCTTAACCACAAGCTCCTTCTATCAGTAAATCCAATGAACATCTAATTAGTCCATAGGAAGTGGTAAATCCTCGCTTAGTAGGAGAAATAGAGAACAAATGGAGCAGTGATGACACAGGGTCTGGACCAGCTAAGACACACTCCCTTGAGAGGTGTTAATTACAGATTCTTATGTTATCTTTTGGCTTCCAGAACTTGTCTGAAACAATTCTAGAGCAGCAGGCAATTCCTTCAGGAAATTCTTGGAGTTCAGAGGAATTTTCAGAAGACTGGAAAAGAGCTAAGGTGGTGCCTGTCTCTTTAGAGAGAGTGGAAAAGGAGGAGTTGGGAAATGGTACATCACTAAGCCTGGCTTCGGTATTTGGAAAAATATTGGAATCACCCACTGCAGCATCTCTTTGTAATCACCCAGAAGACAACACAGCGGTAAGTAACAATCTGCACAGATTCATCTGAGAATGACTGAAATAGAAGTAATTTAACTTTCTTCTGTGACACACTGACAGCACTGGGGAACGGAGTGTAGGAGGGGGAAATAGGCTTCAAACGCTATCTCTAAAGAAATTCTCATAAGCAAACAAAGGAAACATGATCTGTATGAAACTTCTCTATGATTAGTGACTACCCACTAAGATATTAATCAGTCTGTACCATACAGGAAAGATGTATTTCTACGGTTCAGTATCTTTCAGATTCAGTATCATCAGTATTTTTACTAATAATCTGGACAATGTGGTAAAGATGATGCTTATGAAATGACTGCAAAGTTATTTGTAAATTAAAAAGAACTAAAATAATTTTGGGCAAACATATTACTCTGTGAACTGATTGCAAACTATTCCCTTGGATTACTCAAGATGTGAAATTTAAATTTGAGGGGAGGCAAAATGATAAAAAACTCCAAGTTTTTGAGAATCAGGCAGTCCATTGGAGTACTTGAAAATACCAGTTTAAAGGCTGGGTAACATTTTCTTGAAATTAACCATTTTCAGGAGTGATGCTATGTACTAATGAATTCTTAAAAAAAAAAAAAATATCCAGTGAATTAGAAACTTAGTAAAAGCAGAATCAAAAATCATACTTTGAAGAGGCATTACAAGCAATTTTCTGGTATATTTATATAGTACATGAAGTCCTGGATTTACAGGTGTTGTCACTCCCCCAAAATGTTTAATGTCATCTGGCTTTTTACCCAGCTAAATGGATGCTCTTTGCCACAGGACAGACACGCTCACACAACAGCACAATGCTCTGATTTCTAGTACACTTCACTGAAATGCAAGTGCCTTCGATCTTCAGCCTTTCCCTTATCTGAGAAAGCAGATACATCATCAAAGTAGATAATGGTCTGGCTTGTATCAAAAATCTGGCTTGTATCAAAAATAGTGTAACCAGCAGAAGTAGGGAGGTGATTGTGCCCCTGTACTCAGCACTGGTGAGGCCACACCTCGAGTGTTGTGTCCAGTTTTGGGCACCTCAATCCAAGAGAGATCTCGAGGTGCTGGAGCGAATTCAGAGGAGGGCAACGAAGCTGGTGAGGGGGCTGGAAAACAAATCGTATGAGGAGCGGCTGAGGGAGTTGGGACTGTTTAGTATGAGGAAGAGGAGGCTAAGGGAAGACCTTATCACTCTCTACAACTTTGTGAAAGGACACTGTAGAAAGGCTGGTGTTGGTCTCTTCTCACAGGTAATTAGTGACAGAATGAGAGGGAATGGCTTCAAGCTCCAACAGGGGAGGTTTAGATTGAACATTAGGAAAGAATTTTTCACTGAAAGAGTGCCATGGCATTGGAACAGGCTGCCCAGGGAGGTGGTGGAGTCACCATCCCTGGCTGTGTTTAAGGGCCGTTTAGATGCAGTGCTAAGGGACATGGTGTAGGGGAGGACTTTGTAGAGTAGGGTAGATGGTTGGACTCGATGATCCCAAGGGTCTCTTCCAACCTAGACGATTCTATGATTTTATGATTCTACCTGTCCAGCCAGCAGGTGACAGCAGCGTCTGCCTACAATAATCCCTCGTACCCGGGGCACCAATGCAGCTCCACCTGTATGGAATTGTCTCACCTCTCACGTACCACAGTCCACTGATTTTGTAAGCATCTGCCAGACATTGAGTCAATCCATCTGAGCCAGCAATCTCAGACTAACAAACCAAGGTTTTATTTTTATTCTCGTTTCTGACAGATAAACCCACTGATAACAATCCAATTTCCTTTCACTATTTCCTAAATTCACAAAGCTGCAATAGTCCCACTCATGCAGCTCAGTCCAGTTCTCTGGAATTGGCAGTCGGATCCATCCCCTGACCTCCCCGCGGGTCCCACTTGCTCCTACAATGGAGGCACTGGGGGAAACACTGCCAAGGAGTAGTCTCAGTGAATTTGTGAATCCCCCCAGTAACCTGCATCCAGCCTGTTTGTAGTCCTCATCAGCTTTCTTGCAACCATTTCCTCACGTACTTAACAGTCCTTGTTCTAACCCTCAGTTTTTCTAGTGCTTTTTAGTTATTTCTAGTACACTTTACTGAAATGCAAGTGCCTTCGATCTTCAGCCTTTCCCTTATCTGAGAAGATAATGGTCTGGCAACAACTGTCAAAGCTTTACTTAGGAGTTTTCTTTAAAAATCTGTACAAAGCTTTGACTCAACAGTCATAGAATTCTTTTAATCACATTTGACACTCTTTCCTTCAACTGATAAGCTAGCTTGATCCTTTTCCAGATATGGTAATAATATACACAATTTATATGCCTTTTCTTTCTGTAGTCTGAGCTGGAAATAAACCATTTTCCCCAATACAAGCAAATTAAGCTCTGAGCGCATTCTGCATTCTGCACTCAGACACAGTTATTTCCATTATCACTCACTGATTCCTGTAAGTTATCCCACCTCTGACCTCCAGCACAATATCAGCATCCCTGTGAAAAGCTAAGGCATAAAATTTGCTAGAACCCAAGGCCATTTCCTCAGTTAAAATTAGCAGATCTTCCATTTCTTTCTCTCTTTTTTATATTTTATTTTAGCTTTGTAAACAAACAAGCAAGCAAACAAACAAAAAAAATCTTTCTCTAATTGTTTTTTTTTGTTTCTTTAGCAAAGTCCAGCTCCATTTGATTCTGCTTATAAGATACCTGTCACTTTTTGTCCTCCAAAGCAGAGATTGACCTCTTGATCAAGTTCGTCTTAAAACCTTTTCACTTCTAAAATTTCTTTTGAGCTACTTGGTTTGCTGAGCTGGACTGGAAACTTTAACTACCAATTTCTTCTCCTTCATTAGGATTTTTTGTGATTTTTTATTTAAAGAGGGGTTATCAAAAAGCAGTTTTAAGGCATAGTTTGTTAAAGCATATGTATATTTTTATGAATGGTGAAAACACTTATTCCACACGAATTATACTTCTGTAAAGAACTATATTATTAAGATGTCTTCCATTTGCTAATCTTTGCCAGATGATCTAAAATAATCAGTTAAAATTTAAAGTACTTGCAAACCCAAATTTTAACCGGTACTGAAAGTTAAACACAAGCTAGAAAATGTGCTTACTCAACTTACACCCAGGTAAAAGACCAGTTTTCTTAAGCTGTCCTTCTAAAAGGCTGCATCGGACACAAGCACTATATGAAACTAAAATATCCATATTAAATGCAAGTGTACTGAAAGCACACCAGGAAAGCTACTGATGCTTAGGGAATCACAGATATAAGGGTAAAATTCCAGCTGTCAGTTTGATCTGCCTAAATATGGAACAATAATTTCATGAATTTCTGTGTAGGGAAGAAACCGAACGTGTGTGTTACAGAAATTTCAATAGAAGTACAGGTTTCTAGAGATAGCCAGTGCACTTTAGCGCACTGGTTTAGGCTTTCAGGTTTTGAAAACGTATGTTTGAATGGGTCAGTTTCTTCAATATGTCAATGGGACTATCTTAAAGGGCATGGTAGTCAGTGGATGCTGACCACCTGCCATGGAGAATCAGGCTTCTTTATAACAGATCAGTCCACTCAAATTGAAAACAGAAAGCACTGTGCTTGAAATGAGGATTCACTTTCAGTAATAGGCAAAGACTGATCAAATGTATAGCTCAAAAAAAAAAAAAAAAAGCCCAGAACTGTGTTTGAAAGTATCGTGCTCTGATATATCAAGGTATTAACTGGGAGCATTACACATTTCCAACCTGTTCTCTCTGTCATTTTAGACAATGAACAACATTTCGGCAGAAATGAACAACAGCAGCATGGAATGCAATTTTACAGACATCGACAGATTAGCAAATACCTTGCGGTTGGGGATCTCCATCCCCACCTTCATTCTCGGGCTGGTTCTCAATGCCCTGGCCCTCTACGTGTTCTGCTGTTTTTGGAAGAAACAGACGAAAACCTCAGTTTACATGATCAATCTCGCATTTGCAGATATCTTGCTTCTTCTCTCGCTCCTGCTCAAATTGCACTACTCTTACACAGAAGCGCCCGAACTCCTGTGCTCATTCATACAGTCTCTCTATTTTGTCAACATGTACGGCAGCATCTTCATCATTGTCTGCATTACGGTCGACAGATATATCTGCATAAGGCACCCATTCGAAGGTCGAGCTAACCGGTCCACCAAATGGGCTGTCTTCAATTGCTGTGTCATCTGGGTAGTAGCTGGGGTTTGCAGCATCCCAATGTATGTTTCTCAGAAGAAAAATCGTTTGAAATGCTTTCACAACATGTCACAAGATGTTGCATGGAACCCCTTCTACATTGTTTGTGTGGAAATCTTTGGATTTCTGATCCCACTCGCAGTGATGGTTTTCTGCTCTGTCCAAAACATCCTGATTCTTCTGAATCACAAAAATCAAGCTGAAAAGAAGGTAGAAGGCAGTGGCTCCTTACGAGTCATTATCATCAACCTTGTGGTGTTTTTGGTGTGCTTCACACCTATCCACTTTGCAATCTGCCTACAATGCCTGGTAAGACATGGAGTGATAGAGAACTGCAGTCTGAAACAAAGCATCAGCCTCTTCATTCAGGTGTCAATGATATTAGCCAACCTGAACTGCTGCCTGGATGCCATCTTTTATTACTTTGCTGCAAAAGAGCTTTGTGAGAAAACACACCTGAAAAAGGTTATTGAACGATGTCCCATCTTTAAGCCTCGTGCCACACAATGGGACTGCCTGTGGTGGAAGAATGCCTCTTCCTCGACTTCCTCTCCCACTTGCCTCATAGGACACCAAGAGCATCATCCCTGACATAGCACTAGGGTCACCTTGACCACAGCAGGGAGGGTGCAGGAGGAAGAAGGACAATGTTTTTCCAGTGAATATGAACTTGTTCCATACTTTTCTTCCTTTTAAAGATGAAAGGAGAAAAATTTCGGAAAAGAACCAGCACTACCAAAATGACACCAAAAGAAGCATTAGCCTTGATGGTATCTACTAAATGTGAAAGGCTTGCCAGAGCAAAGCTACCCAGATCACTGGAATACCACTTAAAATGAACCTTTGTCATTGCTGCACCAGTTTTCCTTTTGTCAACGTCATCAGAAAGTTGTTGCTAGGGGCCAAACATAGAAATAACTATTCAAAACCTTCTTTTTAACTTAGAAAGTATCTGAGAGTTAAAAGGCAGTATCTGGCCGAAAGTCTGACACTGCTCTTTCCTTCTATAAATCTTACAGAAAGTTGCTGTCAGAGCTCATTTGCTTTGAACAATTTGTCCATACTGGGTTGAGTCTTCCCTCCTGTAAGCATTATACACTGGTTGGAGGTGCTGCACAGGACAGCAGCCCATGCTCTTTCATGGAGGACACACTGCTCAGGACACCACCCCAATGGAGTATCTTGGGTACCAGCAATTTCTTGAGCAACAAATATTTCTGATTATCTTTGCGAAGGAATCAGCATGGGTTTGTCCTGCAATTTTGAAACTGGTTTTGCACGTGAAAACCAAAAGAACTCCTTCAGATACAGCATGAATGACTGTATGTGATGAAATATATTTCTACATCACTGTATTTCTATCAAAGATACAATGTGACTTATGTATGAAATTCTTCTGCCTGTTATTCTTATCCTTTCTTGGAGGGTGGAAGGAAGCCCTGCATCACAGAAAAATAAGGAGTGCCTGTTTTGCTCCAAGCTGGAAGACTGGACCAGCTCTAACCCCCTCCTTCCTTAGAGAGATCCTTTTAGCCCATACTGTGCACTTCACAAAACGTCTTTCAACGTGCCTCAGCCCTTCTCAGTCTGCACTTCTGGTATGTCACTGCCCTTAACACCATTTGAGAGCTTGGATCTGAGTCTAAACTAAAGGCTTCCTTGTTGCAATTTAAGCCCACCATTATGTTGGTTCATGCTCCTAGCCAGAAACACTTTCACATCAAGAAATCTATTTCTGTGCCTTTAAAAAAACAAAACTGTAAAAATGGTCTAAGAATGCTTGTAATCAGGTCTTCATTCTGGGGAAGATGTTCCCTTTATTCAAAAGGTGAAAAGAAATTACCTTCTGTCTGGAGCAAATTAAAAAGAAAGGGGGGCAGTTTTGAAAATACAGTTTGCCATCAATCGATTCCCATAGAAATGACTGATTGTGCAAGTGGGCAGCTGCACATATCTAATACTGGGCCTCATGTACAAGCATTTTAAAACTTTTCAGTATTAAAACTATGACCATAGCTGAGGCACAGACCGATCTCAGAGGCAAAGAAAGGTTTTTATCATCACCTTCACCATTATCTGCAGAGGGGCAAGAGAAAAAGCTTTCCAAAACAGCAGGTTTTCAAAACATTATTTGCTACTGCCTCAATCATTCAGAAACTTGCAGACTTTTCAATATGAGTTAACCTTTCTTTTTTGCACCTTTCACGGTACTTTGCATATGAAATGTGTGAGAAACAACATGTTCTACTAAATAAAGTGCATATATGAAGTATATAATTTGAAAATACATTTTAATTCCCTAATCTGACATCAGTGTATGACTCTTATCTACCTATTTTATCAGAAACTTTTACCATTTTTTCCTTAAAACAGCTCCAAGACTTAGTTGGAGATTTTCCTTTCCAGGAACTACTTCAGGTTTGTAACTATGGCAATCAAGAACAATGAAATAAACAGCAATAAACAGAAAAAGTAAACCCAGGAAAGATTATCAAACCCAGCAGTCTGGAAAATTTAATAAATTTTCTGTGGAAACCCTCTCCACAAATTATTGACAACCCCCCATTAAATGCCCTACAATCTTTCCTCCAAAATGCTCTGAGCTCTTGTTTTTTTGATCAGCCGAATATCTGAAAATTTACATTACCATAAGTGCAATTTGTGACTGCGAAACCACAGCACTTTAAGGCACGAAGTATAATATTGGCCTTTTTTATTTAAAGCTTTTCATGCAGACTCAACGGGTGATGAGGGAGCTGGACTAGTTTCATCCAGCATGCTGGAAGGCAGTGACACATGATGGAGCCAAGCCCTGCCCAGTAGTTCCCAACAATATAACAAGGAGGAATGGCCCTTGGATCACGTTCAATATCGAGAAAAACTTCTTCACTAGGAGGGCAATGCAGCACTGGAAGAGGTTACCCAGAGAAGCTTTCTAATTGTCTCTCAAGAGGTTTCCAAGATAGAGCCAAAGTCATGGTTGATCTGATCTAGTGTTGGAAGGGAACTGGCTCCAGATATCCCTTTCTACTGTTGTGTGACTCTCAGCAAATGCAGGTTCGCTTGGTTTTTTTCTCCTCCAAGACAAAAAGCCATCCCTTAGTGCTGCTGATGGTATGGCACTGGTTGTTTGCAAGCACAGTGCAAGACTGAGGCAACGCACTAGCTGCCTAAAAGTTACTAGGCAGCAGCAACTCTGGCCCATCACACAAGGCTATGATATTTAAAATCAGGAATAATGAAGCAGTACCTTTGTCTTTAACTCATTTATCATGAAGTACTTGGAAAAGATAATTTTCTAATCTCCAAAGGAACAAGTGCACGTACGCAGCTGACAGAGAGGAAAAGCCTGTAGGGACTCTTGTATCCGTGGGTGGGCAGATCAAAGTTTGATCTGCCGGGGCGAGGGAGACAGGATTCACTCATGCCGATGCTTGGTCAGTGATCAAGTCCCATCACACTCAGGCAGCGAGAGACTTCCACTGACAAAAGGAAATCACTGTAATCTTGTCAATAAAAGAAACAGCAGTCAGTTTATGAAAATCAGCTGTAATAATGGGGAGTGGTGAGACCCACTACCTACGACTGGTCTATAGACTTAGTCTGCTCATGCTATACGTGGAAGCAAACTCGGAGCACAGAATCTGAAAATTCAATCGGATTACTTTCTTTCCATTTATTGCCATCAGTGCTACTTCTTTGTTGGCCAAAAATGATTTTTATATATAACTCCATTTGTCTAAGTTTTGCCTGTTACATATGTAAACGAGAACTGCCTGTCTAAGCATATTTGAAATTTCTGAAAAAAAAGAGAAAGAAGGAAGAGAGCCCAGCTGCGTTGGTTTTATTTACAGGACTATTACAATAAGCAAATCTTTAGCACAAGACGAACTGAAAGACAGAATTCAAGACGAACTTACATTTAAATAATACAATTCTGTCTTTGACCTGCAGCTAAGATTACAGTTTTTTCTAAATCATAATTTTACATACAGACTCCTCTGTGAAATCTACTGTTAACTCTGGAGAATCTCCAGTTGGTTCTATTTTTATATCGGGACAAAAGCAATGAAAAACTTCTTGCACCTTGAAAAGGTGCACAACGATTTTGTTGATGAATAAAACTGAAAAGCATTTGACATTTAAGAAACAACAACAAAAGCCTTCCTGAGTCAATACACAAGTTCACAATTTCTATTTTCAGACTGCACAACAGATTTCTTCTCTCTCGATGTTATTCTTAATACAAAAAAGCGGTGGGAACCTGACCATGAACCCCTCACGTACCTAGGTCTCACCCCAGGGACTCAGCTGTACTGTAAAACCAAAGAAGCATCATCCTAGTGGAACAAAAAAAATATAAATAAAATCAAGTGCTAACCAAAACCACCCAAAAAAATTCCTTTAAAAATTACATTTTCAGTACTACTCTCTTCTGTGAATTGAACAAAAATGGATACAATTGACCATAGTCCTTAAAGAGCAGATGTATTTAACCTTAATTTTTCTGGAAAAGGCTGTTTCAGGACACTCAGGTGAGAATATTCACAAAAGGCAATTTTGTTTTTATCCAGTCAAGCTTCTCCAGCTCAGCCAAACCCCACACATCTTCACAACACAGGAGAGGGCTGGCTGCTCTCGAGAGTAGTTTTATCAATGGCAGATTATTCCATCAACATCCTACAATTGGCATTTGTTCAATAGTGAATGTGATCCCCAAGCTGTATTTTGTAGACTCACAAAGCAATTGAAAGTCCCTAAAGTATAAAAGTAGTTTGGAAAAAAGGAAAAAAAATAACAAACAAAAACCAAAAACAAAACCCAACCAAAAAAAACCCCCCAAAACCACAAAGGATTTGTTCCCCTTCCTCTTTTCCTCAGTCCCTTTGCCTGGTGTGTTATATCATCTTCCGTTTCCCAGGCCCACTTGAGCACAGGACTTCAGATCAGCACCACTCCGCTGAATTCTAACGCTGTAAAAGTACTGTCAGAGTAATGCCGGACTTTTTGAAAAGTCATATTGTCCAGTAAGTCCCTTTGAAATAACATATCTAAATGATTTTTAACTATTAAAAAAAAATTAATTTGAATTCAACTGGTTTAATAGCAAGTAGAGGACCATATACGGAACTTCTTTTTATAGCCTTCATAAAACTGCTTGTATAATAAGTACATGATTCACGAGCCGGAACGCATCATAGGAAGGATCCAAGCCTAGATCAAAGCACTGATAGTGTCTGCCCTTCTAGCAAGGGGCTGTGGTGAGCATAGGTGGACATGCACCCTGCAGAGGCGGTCCAACATAATTTCATTATGATTAAATACATTAGCTATAAACATAAACCAGACAGCTTTTCATGTGAGAACGATCAACCACCATTTCTTCTTTGTGAGTTTTACTCACAAAGAAAGCCTAATAAATGTCACTCTAGCATCATATCAAGTAATTTCGGTTCATCGTATCAAGTAATCTCAAGCGTTCAGAAATCTGCAAAGGGAAAAGAGCCGACACCTCACTGCATAAGGCAGCCTCCAGATCACAAAGCAAAGCTGAAATGGGTTTAAAGACTGAAACTGATCTTCAGAGAGATACCGTCCTAAACCTCACATCTTTGTGTGCTGCTCTAAGCAATATTTCACTCAAAGGTTATTCTCCAACACCACAACTTAACCTGTTCAAAATGCTCGCAAGCGAACAGAAGATAAGCCAATGCTACTCAAAAGTACAGACTTCTGCCTCTCTCATCAAAATGGTTTTGCAGGTTTTTCCCCCTCACATCCAGTACATTTTCCACTTTAGACTAACTCCTTCCTGTGAGTCTTGGGAGTGCTCTCCATCCTTCCACCCAAACGCAAGGAGAGGAGCTGTGGACAGCCAGCATCCTTTGAGGAACTGGCAAGTCTAACTGGAGAAAATGGAGAGCGGAGGGCCAACCACCCCTGCGTACAAACCTCCCAAGATGACTCTGGCAGCTGCCATGAGAGCCTACAGGGACCTGCTCAGCACAGAGCAGCAAATGGCAGTAGCTCAGACAACCTCTTTATGGAGCCAGAAGGATGATGAGACCTTGACACACCAAAAGCGACTTAATTTTTCCCAAAAGGAACTGTCTTTACAAAGCAGAGCAGAAATGTGCTTGCTCCAAGCAAATCGAAAAGAAAGCTGCCTGTCTTTGTTATTTACATAACAGTACAAATGGGAAAGCTGGCTTGGTTAGATTTCAAATTAGCATGTTTCCTAAGCATGTAGAGAAACAGAGAGAGGAGCTACACGCACACTTTTTGCTCTGGCTGCTCTCCCAGCTCTGCCAAAATATGGAGCATGGAGAGAATAGTGCAAAAGTTCGGTTACCAAAAGGGGTAGCAGTTTCCTCTCTTACTCTCTAGCCCACTGTCTCTGTACGAGGGAAGGAAGGCCTAGAGGAAGAGGAAAAGAGGATGCTGCAGCATGTAGTGGAAAACGGTTATCACAGAGGGTGAGCTGAGCCTGCTGCCAGGGAATGGATCTGCCTGGGCAGCCAAAGGTGGCTTCAATCCAAAGATGCAAACTTGCTGCTGGAATAAAACCACAGGAGGCACAGAAAGTCCCTTCAACCCCTCTTCCTGACCAAGGAAAGGTTTTATGTATCTTCCTAGAGGTGTCCCCAAGCTCCTCTGTGTGTGTGTGCGTGTGTGTGTTGGTCCAGCACCCTTTTTTGATTCATGCCCTTTGCCAATGCATCCCACATTCCAGCTCCCAGGCAGCCCTCACACAGGAGACAGGCTCTGCTCCCAGGGCAGGACATGACAGGGCAGGGGAGGGTTGGGGACACCATGTGGTGTCCATCTTTCTACTCAGTAGAGATGGCCACTGTCATGGCTATGGATGCTGAGATGGATCTGCAAAGGCTGAGGTCACTTTCAGCTACAGTGACTGCTTCTGAGAACAGCTAAGACTATTTCTCTTGTAAAGGTGTGTGGGAGAAAGAAAAAAGAAAAAAAAAAAAAGAAAACAAAACAAATCCCCAGAACCACCTATTTTTGATAAAACTAGGAAACATTAGTCTATGGAGAAGATTAGATGAGGGATCCTGCGTTGCTTCTAAACACATAAATGAAATGAGTTTCTGTTAGCAAGTGAGTTATTTGCATTGGAATATCACTCCTAGGAACTGCTTGACAGAAAGTATCACTGTGTGATGAGTTTCCCAGTTCTGTTAACCTCAGTGTTAACAGAAGGAGAAATGGAACTCG